AACCCTTCTAGAAGCCCACAGAACTCATTAGGAAATTCAATCCATGAGAGAAAAGTCATTGAATATGGACTCGTTCTCTGTTTATATAATCTGCTGCAACTTGCAAGAGATTCCCATGCAAAATGATTTTGATTTGAGAATTCGAAGGAAACCAGTGCTGCCAAGTACCGAGAGCAGAACAATAATCAATTTGAGTGCTCTCCACCTCAAATTCCTAATGTTATCGTCCAGTTTTGTCAGTGTCAAGGGGGAAAGATTCCTAATTCCAGAGAGGATGGTGTTTATAGGGGGTGGGCATAAATATATTTTGGAAACAAATAAAAGAATTCTAGGTGGACAGAACTCTAAAAAGCAGTTTCTTAGTATTGTGTAAATGGTAATGGTTGGGAGTACAAAGTGTAAAATCTAGTTTACTTTTGCCTTAGATTTGATTTTTAATCTACTTGTTTGTGAGAAATAAAATAGGAAGTAAGATGATGCATTATAACGGGGGTAGTAAGAGAGTTGCCTGTTTGGGAATGAGGTAGGAAACAAGATAATGTAACCCCTAACTTATATGAGAGAATTGAGGGCCGAGGAAGGTACATGGTGAAAATTTTGAGATGTAAAATTAATTAAGAAAATGAGTACAAGGAGACAATACAAATTGAGGTACAAATCATAATTAAAAACAAATAGATCCTAAAATACCGTCCCTTAAAATACCCTCACCCCATCCTTGAAAAAGATTAAAATCTCTTTTGACAGTTGTCAAAATACTTATCAAGTGCTCATTTAACGTGCCTACTAATATTGTGTCCAGTAGTTCCGGTCCCGGCATAAGTACCTTAAATGACCACTTGATAAGTATGCACAATATAAGTAAGCACGTTAAATGAGCACTTGATAATTATTTTGCCAACTGTCAAAAGTGAGTTTTAATCTTTTTCAAGGGTGGGGTGAGGGTATTTTAAGGGACAGGTGTCAAAAAAAATTTTCTAGTGCTCATTGGACGTGTCTATCTGATTCAAACTGGCTTATGCCTACTAGATCCGGTCCCAAATTATATTAGATGCAAAATTTATATCCGGTTCAGATTTGCACCGGCGAACAATCAGAGTCCCCTAAATCTTTTTCTTTTCAATAAAAGAATGAAACCAAGAATGGATAAATCAGAAAGAATGAGATTCCGTGTATGTGTATCAGGTCAATTAGAGATCACCCACTAACAACAAAACTGTCACCTTGTTCTTTGTCACTTCTCACAACACCAAAGCTGTGGGCGGATTGGTTGTTATCAATCATTATCAAACTAAGCTCTATCAATAGCAGGTTCAATGATTTCCATTCCCCCACAAATTACAAAACAAACACACTTTCCCTCTATATTGCCATCTTTATATTTCACGCGATAAAATTAAACAAGATGAGATCATCAATTGTGAGTCCTCACCTGAATTAGGCCCACAGAAATAGGTACAAGGCACACAAAGTGTTGATCATGACCAAGATATCTAGATCAGATCAACTTAAATTCAAATATTAAATTTAAACTCGTCTATAAGCAGAACAGGTTCGAATATGCCAGACCAACAAATCAATATTATATATTAAGTACTTATGGACCATGTATGATTCAATATTGCTTCAAATAAAAGGTTGTTAGTTTAAAACTAATAGGAGATGCTTCCTTAATTGATACGTAATAATATGCCAAATCTTTCCTACTTCCTATAATCCACCATATAAAAAAGGATGAAACTCAGAAATAAAATAGCATATGGGTAATTTATATCCCCATCATTCTGTCTCTCCTTGCTTAAGATCATTTGATCCTTCCAAACCCATCCATGATCAGAGAGAACCCATTTCTATGACTAAAGTCTTCCCTAGATTACTGCAGAAAAAAGCACCATACCTCTATCAAAAAGATTTCGCCTTCCCTTACACTCACCAAATCCCATCAGGAAGCATTTGCAAAAAAGCTGAATATTTCTCTAATGCCTCCCGTTCAAGGGAAACCTCTTCGATGTGTCTTTTATAGTTTCATTGGGTAGTGGATACAAACATCTTTCAGGAAATTCTCTATTCGGTTGACCTTATGCACAGTGGAAAATATCTCCTTCCTATTATCATTTTCTTTTAGTTGAGGAAATGGAATAGACTTGTCTATGAAGAATATGATCTTAACATGCTCCAATACCACCCCAAATTAAATTTTCTCCTAAAATGAAATCACGTTTTATTAGCAAAAAAGTTCAGAAATGACCATGTGTATTGGGCATTTATCAAATTTTCAATTGGCTCGAACCGGAACCAAGCCGGATGTAGTTGGAATTCTTCAAATCTGGCAACTTGACTTCCACACCGCAACCTAAAAACAGCCCAAAAAAGTACACAGAAAGGTACTTTGCCCAATCAAAACCAAGAACCATACAATAATTTTGAAAATGGAAAATGCAATAATCCCCCCATAGAAATGGAATCCAACTCAAAAATATATATATATATTATAAATACACGATTACATATATTCATACACAAACAACTCTGCCAGTGTGACCGTGTCTCACACGGTTACACCACCAGACCCAAGCCCAGATAAAGGTGGAGGGATGCACACTGCATCAGATTGGCATCCAGCATATATTTTTCAAAACTTACATGAACATGGATCCTGATTTAAGCATCAATAATTTAACAATGGATATGGCATTAAACAGTAACAGACTGGTGAAACAGGATTCATGTAGATGACCCCATATTAGTTGGGACGATGATCATGACACACACACACACATATTGCCTTATAGTTTGAGTGATGTGAAATATCCAGTTCACTTTGCCTTCCATTACAGAATATTTGCATTTTCTAACTTAGCAAATGAACCAAACTCTTTCCAAATCAGCCTTCACACTCCATAAGAGCTAAAAATCAGCACCATGAGATCCAAAACAACTTGTAATGAGAAAGTGAAGGGGATGACTTGCTTCTTCCCACTCCTTGAGATGAAACATGATAGACGTCCAAAGATTAATCAAAAGGTCATTGGAGTAGTTATTTAAGGACTTCAACTTTAGTCTGTTCTCTAGTCACTGGAGTAGTGTTTTGTGGGATATTGATTTCGTACTGTGACACTTTCCTTTTTACAGTATTGCACCTGCTTTGATGTACTTGGCTGTTGAGGAAACTTTTCCCTCAGAAACTTTTATCCTTATTTCCATTAATAGAAAATTCACCTTTTCTCAAAAAGTAATCAAAAGGTCCATAATAATTTTTATTGCATTAGTATTCCACAAGAATAAAAGGGTGTTAGACAAGAAAAGGAACTTTAAGTGCCTGTCCAAAATCACCAGAAAGCAGAGCAAGGATACCAAAACAGAAAAGAGCCTTATAAAGAGTGCCTGTCCATGTACACATCTGTGCTGCCCATCATATAAACAAGAGCTCCTCATACAACTGAGATATACCTCCATTATCTCCAATTCCTAGTCATTTATCTTCTTGTTTGAAACAAAAGAAACCTGTTTTCTTTCAATCCCCACCTTACCCAACAACAATCATCACCATCATAGACATTAATGACCATGGAAGTGTACACCAGGACAAAAAAAATATTAGAGTTGGTTGTTACCAAAACACCCCTGAATATGCATTCTTGTTCGTCTTACATTTGCATATGTCACCATATCCAGGATTATAGCATATTTCTTCTTATTATTTACAATCCTAGACTCCAATATTCATTAGCACCTATAACAATCCGCAAAAGCAACACTCATGAAGGAAACCATTACCCCAAATCCATTTCATGAACTCTCATCCTATCACCATTACGAACTTCAAACTGTTTGATAGGATTCCTAAAATACCTTTTAAATGCTTTGCAGACTTTGGTTCTACAATTTAATCCAAAATTCATTATAAACCCAATCTTCACATCAGCTTTCATTGCTATCCTCCAGAACATATTAGCCTCATTGACCTTTTGATCTTGCCTCTACAAAGAACATACTAAATTCAACCTAGGATTTGCAACTTCTACTCATGGGAACACTAACCCCATGGACATGGTGGTTGGTATGTTTTGAAATGGCTGTTTGAGTCTGATCTTGTGATAATGTTCTGCCCCAAAAATGGTAATTAGTCCCTACTCATCCTCTAATGACATCATCAAAAAATAACAAAATCAATTACCTATAAATCAAAGGAAACCAGTCAATCTGTTCTCCATAGCCTTGGCAGTGCCACCATGATTCATGAGAGCTTTTTCCCATGGGTATTCACTGAATTTGATTTGAACCATTCAGTTTATTTTAACTCCTAGGCTGTGACACCTAGATACCTGTATAAGGGTGCTCTATCGTGTTGGATACTTCAATTTATTTTTAGTGTAAGCTACCAAGTGTCCAACCGTGTTCTAGCCATTTCTTTTATGTCCTGGCAAACTGACAAAATGTATTTTCTATGCTCAAATCCAAATTATAAGTCATAACAATTCCAAGTTGTTAGGATAAAATAAATAGAAAGAAAGAGAAAGTAGTTGAAGGCGGATGAAACCTTCTATTGCTCTCAAGAGTAAATTTACTCAATTCTTTCATAGCTTTGCTACCCAACTCCAACAGTCCAACCATAAACTCGTGCACTAACCTTCCAACAGTCTCTCCTTATCACACACTGGTAATGCTTTAAAATAGTCTATTTACACCTAACAACCTAACATCCATCAAACAATCATATTTTATTTCTTAATCTACACGACTGATGACTCCTATCCTACCAATACCAAGATAAGGCAATCTATCATGCTATTTGTATGCCAATAGCTAACAGTTCAGTCTCACCATTACCAATAAGTATAGAAGCAATTAAGCAGTTCAATCCCACCATTAAAACCCTAATCTGAAACTCCAAGACCATAAGCCCATGAATATATCTGATTATGAATTTGGTGCGCTTCCACTCTTTATAAGGCTCTTGCTCCACTCTACGATTCGTACTAATCCATCGAAATAAAATATATAGAGAAAAGAAGTGTATAAGTGAACCCAAAATTTACATTGTCTAATATATGAACTACATCAGGAAAAAAACACCCAAATAGTGGGGCAAAACTTACAAATTTTATCAACCTCTGAACCAGGGTTCTACTATAACTTTACAAATCGGCGAAGGAACTCGCCTCAGACCCTGATAGCCCTTACTTTCCTGGAATCCTCCGGACAGAGCTCGAGCCCAATTCGACCCCAGAACCAGGGTTCTACTACAACTTTACAAATCGGCGAAGGAACTCGCCTCAGACCCTGATAGCCCTTACTTTCCTGGAATCCTCCGGACAGAGCTCGAGCCCAATTCGACCCCAGAACGGCAAATTGGACAAGCAGGCACTTTTACTAGCCACCCATCGATGCAATTCACATGGAACACATGCTTACACCCCCGAAGAACCCGGCACCGCTCTCCGTCCCGGAACCCCTCCAAGCAAACGGCGCAATCACTGTTGAACCCATTCTCTGCGGCCGCCCCGTAATCGAAACAGGGAAGCTTCTGAAGATCCTCCGGCGATAACCCAACACAGAATTTCACATCATCTCCGCCTGAGCTACGGAAACGGGAGCGCCGCCGCCTCCGGCGGCGGAAGGCTCCACTGGAAACGCAGATGTGGATGAGGAAGATGATAGCGATGCCGACAAAGAGGAAGAATAGTGAGATCACGAACGCCATGACAATGGCCTGGAGGAAGAAGGAGAGCAGCCTAGGGTTTGGTTTCATTGACACATGCAGTGACCGGATTACAATAGGTGGCGGCGGTGGTGGCGAGATCAGAAGCCCACGTGCCCGGGGCGGTCGTGATGGTGGTGACGGAGGTGGACCGCCGCTTGAACTTTCATTAATGAAGAGCATGTTAGCGTCGTCTTCGTCCTCGATAGACATCTCTTATCTCTCTGATGAATAATGAATCTGAAATTACGAGATCACCAAATATATGTACGAGGGAAGAACAGCCTGAACAGAGAGAGGTGGGTCTTTGGTAGACAAGAGTCTTTCGAGACTTTATCACTTGAGACATGAAAAGTCAGTTAAAGACCATATTTTTGTCGCTTTGTGTTTGTTTTCTAAATGATATTGTACTGTTGGTACTATAAATAATTAAAGTTAGACAATTAGATTGAGAGATTACACTATTGATTCAATCAGAACCGTCTAATTTGTGTGGACGAGGAGAGTAATCCCATTACCTTCTTATTTACATTTTCTTGATGTGGAACCCACAAAATGAAATTTTCTTTTTGAAAATGATGGATAGGACAAGATTCTCTTTTGAGAAATCTGGAGCCAATTGGGTGGCGACGGAGGACGATTCTAGGGTGGGCAGCAGCAGCAATCAGCAAAACTGGTATGGTGGATTTTGAGCGGCACACAGAGAAGAGGAGCAATGAATCTGAATACTGGATTAATCTGTTCTGTACTTCTGTTGGAACAAGATGAGGCTCGACTAGTTCATATTTATATTTATCTAGTTCTAACCCCAACAATAAAAGTCTAAAACTTTGGGGACACGTCCCGGGTTATGGTGAAAATGGGATCTTGATGATCTTGAACAATCATTTAGATTGGTCTACAGATCAGATGGTTAATGGTGGTCCAGTTAATATTTTGATTTTTTTGGAAAGATAATAGTTAATATTTTGTTTAGGGAGTTCTCATGGAGAATGATTCAGCGGTGGTAGGTAGATTCTAAACTTCTAATGTTTGTGCTTAAGGAGTTGGGAATAGTGAATTGTATGTCCCTTGGCCTTGAGGTTCAAACTCAACCTAAACTTCTAATGTTTGTTTAGGTTCCATCTGTTTCTTGTACAAATTTCATTTGCATTGGTACAAATATATAAGAAAGCAAATTTGTACAAGCTATATACTTGCAAGCAGTATTGTAAAGATAAATTTAGGTGGCGTTTGATAATTATGAAGTCTGAAGTCTCAAAAAGTAATAGTTTTAAAATTTGAAAAGCAACATGTGGTGTTTTTTTTTTTTTTTGGGATTTTCTGAAGACTCTGAACAAGTAATATTTTTTGTATTCAATCATTCTTCAAACATCTAAAAACGTGAGATTTTACCATTTTAACATTGGAAATAGGAGTGTTTGGTAATTTTGGTTCAAAATAACACTATTTCATACATTTTCATAAAAAAAATCAATAAAACAATATGTAGGGACGCAAACAGATCGGGTCGGATTCAAATCAGGGTATATCTTACTCCGATCCGATATATTATAGCTTCAATATCTCACAAATATGGTTCATATTTGATCCGATAAGGGTGTTGGATATCCAAATATGATTAAATCCGATTTAATTTAAAAAAAAAGTTAATAAATTATTAAAAGAAAAAGAAAATATAATAGTACAAAAAAATACATGTACTTTTTCAAGTATTTTCATCATATATATGCATGTTTTTTATAAAATAAATAAATAATATTAAAATTTACAAAAATGCAATAACATCTATACATACATACATAGGTCATTGAAAAGATTGGCCCTCTATGAGGCCATTACGGTATGTTTCTTTCCCTAGGTTTTTGCTAACATATAGACCTCAGATTTCTACTAGCTTTGTGTTCTACAAAATGTGTATGTAGTGACCAAGTTGTGAATAAGTAGCGTGGCCTGTGGAAGTATGAGATGGAGGGCACCGAGGCAACGATGAAGTCGAGCTAGAAGAGGCCAAGAACGTGCCCAAGGCCAAGGAGGAGGAGAACAAGAAATTGAGCCATCAGGTATATGACCTAAGGGTGAAGCAAACTTTGGTGAAGAATATGATGAAAGAGACCGAAGCGAGAGTAGCTCGGGCCAAAGAGGAGGCTGTGGCCGAGCTCAAGGCCACAAACGAGTTTAAGACCATCTTGGTTGACTTCAACATTGGCTCTTATCAGTTCGGCTTCACTCATTGCAAGAAGAGGGTCATGTGGCTCTTCCCCAATATGTTTGAGCTGTTAGATCGTGAGATGTTTGAATAGTAGGCCAAAAAAATTGAGGTAGGGAATAGGGCTAAAATAATTGGCCACGCCAAGGGGGATTGAAGTAATTTGAAAGAAAATGTTAAAATTAAAAAATTGAATGTCCATTTCTTTATGTTTATATTGAGTATCAAGGAAGAGGTGTTTATATTGAGTATGTTTATATTGAGTATCAAGGAAGAGGTGTTGGAGGGGGGGGGGGGAGTATTAGAAAATAAGATCACTAAATCTCAAATTGGCTAGTTGGTGCAATTCAAGAAGTGGGGTTGAAGAGTCTTGTTTGGGTCCATGTATTGGGATTCCCGTCTATGCTTAAAACATGCAAACGTTTTGGGCTATAGGGAATGCCTATGGAAGCCTGGTAGGGCTGTTCACAAACTATTGTAAACCGGTCAAACTGACCAAACCAAACCAATTTGACCCGATATGATCAGTTTCTAAAATGATCCGGTCGGTCTCGGTTTAAAACATGATAAAAACCGATTACACGGTTCGGATGCGGTTATCCTTTTCGTAATCTGACGTGAAACCAACCCAAACCGCTAGACATATATATGTATATAAGTTATGACCTTCATACTTTACGTGCTTTTGTCTTTTTTTTTTTTCTTTTCGTTTCACAACTGTTGTTGTCCTAGTTTGTCTTTTCAGCCATGTCTCTCCATTTAATGAATCCTAACAGTACAACAGCTGGCGGATTGCAATCGTAGGAGCATAGGTAGATGGGCAGACTGACACTTTATGTTATAAAAGAATTATTTCGGTTTTGCTTAATTAAAACCGATTAAGCCGATGTAAAACAAAATGAAAAATGTGGTCAGTTTTCACTGTTTGTTGGTCGGTTTCGGTTGGTCTTAAACCCACCCCAATTATTTCGGTTTGGTTGACAAAATTAAATGCAACCGAACCAAACCAACCCTTAAACATCTCTAAAGTTTGGAATGTTCAAAAAAAATTAAGCCATCTATGAACAAGTTGAAGAACTTGATAATGGTACAGGCTTTGTTTGAAGTCAAGGAAATCCACTTGGTTTCGTGGAATTAAGCTTTAAACTATATTAGGGAATGGCATGACTTAAGATTAATGGTTGAGGGGTGTACTTGTTATGATGGTTTGATGAGATGCCATCCGTCGTGCTTGGTTGAAGTTAGGAAAGTTATAGTCATGTAGGGAAAGGGGAAAGTCGAAAGGTCAAGAGGCTTGAAATTTATAAGTTGAATATGAGAGTATTTTGGGAAATGAAAATAATTATTTTATGTGAATGGGGTGGGGTTTTCAAAGATCACATGGAAGGGGAGGGTTAATGTTCATGTAAGTGAAGGGACTCGAATAGTTGACATCTTGCATAAAACAAGGGAAGAAAGTTTATTAGAACTAAGAATAACAGGAATGGATCTGTTTCATTTAATTCTTTAGTTGGCAACCCTCCAAATGGTAGGAATAGGATCAAAATCACATAACCATAGGTTCTCCATGGTATGGCTGACATCCCAATGATAGTTTTGTAAGCAGTACGGTACGCCCAAAGTGCGTCAAAAAGATGTAAAAACCAATCTTTGCGGTTCAGGTTGACCGACTTTTCCAAATTTTGCTTGACCTCTTTATTAGCTAACTCAACTTGCCCATTGGTCTATGGATGTTAAGCAGTTGACACCTTGTGAATAACACCATACCTACACATCAAATCTTCAAAAGAACAACTATAAAAATGTGCCCCTTGATCACTAATAACCACACGTGACGTACCATACTACTTAAAAAACTATCCTTGGGATGTCACCATACCGACTCATTTATGGGAAAGCGTATCATTAACTTGCGGAGCTTGAGAATAAAGCTTATTAGGCTGTTAAAACACTTAACTTTGATTTAAATGATGTAGGTATTCAAAGGAAGTTACAATTGTCACAAATAAAAGAACTGAGGAACGATGCATATGACAATTCTAGGATCTACAAGGCTAAACTGAAAGCAGCTCATGATAAACAGATCCTAAGGAAGAATTTTGAGCCAAACTAGCGGGTACATCTTTATGATTCCCATTTGCATCTCCACCCAGGAAAGCTGAGATCTAGTTGGACGGGTCCATTTGTGGTGAAACGAGTTTTTCCCAACGGTGCTGTTGAGATTGAGGATCCGACCGATGGGAGAGTTTTCCGAGTTAATGGACAACGATTGAAGCATTATGTGGAGAGGGTAGACCAACCTGAGGAGATCACTCTTGTGGCTCTAGTCTACAATGCTTAATCAAATTCTATCTGCTTTTGTTTTTCTTTTATTAGTTTTTATGTTTCCTTCCTCTAGTTGATAAATTTGCAGGTCTAGTCTCAATCCATTGCTCAAGTGTCCTCCATCCTTTGCTCTGTTATTTCTTTTATTTTTATGCTAGTGAGGACACTGTCTCGTTTAGGTTGGGGGTGGTAGCATTACATGCACATTCTATGCACACCTTTTATATACATTCTTTTTGTGTTAAAAAGAAAGAGACAACCAACACTTTGCTTATTGTTTTTATTCTGGTAGTTTTTGTGTGAATAAATTTGCATTGCATGTTTGACAAGCTTAGATTGGACTTTTTGCTTTTCTATGTAGGTATGATTTCAAAATTGTTTGGTTTAAGTCACTTTTTCTATCTTAATTATCAAAGAATAACTTTTGAAAACTTTTTGCGCACAATACTAAGCTTTGTGGTTAGATGGATCTTCAATATATATAACCAAGAGAATTGTCATGTTTAAGTGCACATTTTTCTATACTCACACATCTTTTGTGAGTGAGTAGAGAGAAGATGTGTGAGTAGAGAGTTGAGGAAACAACTTATGAATTTTCATTGATTTGTTGAATTGGTTAGTTGCTGTTTAGAATGACATTACTTGGTTTGAGGAATGATTGGATGATAAGCTGATGGATGATACTAGTAAAAAAAAAAGAGGGAGCTAGTTTGTGTTATGTTATGTGAAGCCTTTGGAATAACATGTGTAATATTAGTTATGTGAGAAACTCTACACTTTTCCCACTTTGTTTTTT